AGACAAGATGAATCACAAGACAAGATGAATCACAAGACAAGATGAATTACAAGACAAGATGAATTACAAAGCAAGATCACAAGATGAATCACAAGACAGGAAGATGAATCACAAGAAAAGAAGATGAATCACAAGACAAGATGACTCACAAGACAAGAAGAGGAATCACAAGACAGCCAGCAAAAAGACTCAAAAGACAGCAAGATAAATCACAAGATGATGAATCGCAAGACAAGAAGATGAATCACAAGAAGATGAATCACAAGAAGATAAGGTACAGCTTCTACCCTGAAGCTGTTAGACTCAAAAATCCCTAACCAGGAAAATCACTGTAAACAAAAAATGAAAAATTGCTGTAATGCCACTTTAATTGGTGATATGTCCTAGAGAAAAGCAGAATGGGAGGAAGATCTTTCAGTTATCAGGCTTCTCTCTTGTGGAACAAACTTCTAGCTTCTGTCCATAAGGCTGACACATTTTTCAGTTTTAAGACTGGGCTTAAGACTTTCCTTTTCGATAAATTCTATTATTAGTGTTGGCTTGTTATGCTGTCATAGGCTTAGACTACTAGAGGACAAATTGACCTCATTTCCTTAAATGAATTGTTAAAATTGAATAGTTTTCATTTGACACTATTTCTATTTTAACATGTGATTCTCGATCTGCCATTGTTTATCTGTTCCTCCTTCCTGTTCCTTTCAAACTCAGCCAGTCGAAGCAGATGGCTGCTTTTCCTGAGCCTGTTCTGCTAAAGGTTTCTTCCTCATGAGGGAGTTTTTCCTTTCCACTGTCGCCTTCATGCTTGATCAAGATGAGAGTTCTGCAATGGGGTTAAATTCAAGTCAGTTTGCTCCTCAGATAAATGGTGTTAACTTGTTCTTTATATATGTGAATGTTTCTGTGCAGTGCTTTGTGATGACTTCTTTTACTTTGTTAGGACGGGAGCTGGCTGCGGGCCACCAGACCCGGAAACCCGCCTCCAGCCCACGTCGCTTCCCCCGGCTCGAATCTCCCTCAGAAGTGGCAACTCATACTAACAATAAATCAAGGAGACGTCAATTAAGTTTAATCAATATATTAAATCAAGGCAGGAAAAGGTTACAGTTTACAGCGCTGGTCTCTCCAGTCTGTGACACGATCACAAACCCGGAAGAGCCCAGATGTTCTGTGTCATTACTCATTTATAGGGTCAAGGGGAGCTCAACCTGTCAGTGTATGAGGGGGCGTGTGTGACCTCAGTGGATCTTATGTGGTTATGACGTGAAAGGAAATATGAGACGGTGCTTAAAGCCTTTCTACGTGATGTAGCAAGCAGAAATAAACTCTATTCCTTGACGGATATTGAATCCCAGGGAGACTCTTTTTAGAGTTGCTGGCCCAGTTTAACTCAGTCAGAACCGGGTCATAATTTCATTATAATCCCGTCTCTGAGCATATCAAAACCCCAGGACAGTCTAGATAAAAATATCTGACAACTTGGTGCTCTTTAAATAAACTGAATTTAATTATATGCGACTTATCTGTGCTGTTGATTATCCATGCTGCTGATATCATGATGCTGTATTCATTCATACCCATCTATTCACTACAGACTCATGTTCAGGCTGCTGTTTAATATACCATTTTATTTTATATTGTTCAGTGTATATCTTAGATCCTTATATACTGTTTCTTTTTATACTTTTGCTATTTTTGGGTGTAACTGGGACCTTGAGTACACAATTTCGTTCCACCTCATCTACCACATGTGACGCAAATGACAATAAACCTTGAACTTGAATGACAATAATGAGCCTTGAACCTTGATAAAATTATAGTTGATGTTCTGGTTTAAACTGAACTACTTCATGAGACCACTCTTCCTCCAAGAGGAAAAAACATATCAGGTTAGCTTCGAAGCTTTAGTACGTTTTTTTTTTGTTTGTTCTTGCTTCAGTACTAAACATAAAGTTATTTGTTTATAAAAGTAAACTAAAACAGAAGATTTCCTTTGATATGAAACTCTTTACTACCTTCTGTTGACAACTTCTACTATCCCGGCGATGTATGCTAAAATAAAGAAATAAACAGCTCTGGTTCAATGGTTCGCGCTCGACTGTTTCCTAACAACTTTTTTCGTCGAGCAACGCAGTACAGTACTTTTATTTTTCCATTTCCGCCCAACGGAATTCTACTTCCGGCGTAAGACATCACGTAAACGAGTGCAGGTAGGTGTGTGTGTGTCCAAGATTACGAACAGATTTGAGGTGTTTAAAGTCATCGTATTTTGTTTTATTCATATTTGTTTAAATGAAGAAGTTTCAGTTGGTTTCTGATGCTGTTTGCCGTTTTCAGCTACAGCTAAACCACGGGAAAGCTAACCGGAACTAGCTTAGCGACACGCATGCGCGCTACTTTTTAATCTGGATCTTTTGTTTTTCTCATTTTACATTCAGTCATCTTCCTCACGCGTTTTGCTATAGTTCAGTTTGCTCTCAGTTTTGTGTCAGACAACAGGAATTATAATTTTAAAAAGTAATTTACGGTTTTTAATTGCATCTCAGAGTCATTCAGAAAACAAAGCAACCAGCCAAGAAATATAAACATAAGCTTGCATATTTAACAAAAAGAAACTTATAATTTTTTATTCAAAATTCTTGTTTTGCGAAATGTTTCTAAAATACTTTGTTTTGCTGAAGTCTTGTGTATTTTGAAAGTTTTCCATTTCAGAGCTCCCATTTGATGGGCATGAATGATTGTTTTTATTGATGGTCAAATAAAATCAGAAAGTGCTTCACTCAGAATTAAATCATTTTTATGACCATTTAAGAAGAAGAAACTGTCAGACTTCCAAACTGAAAGGTTTTGATTTAGGAAAGACGGCAGCCTTCAACATGGATCCAATCTCCACAACACTGATAGCCTTGCAGTTTCATCACAAGATTAATGTTTTAATATTACATCTAGTGCCAGCCAACACAGATTAACTCATTTGTCTTAAAGCAGAAAACTGTTGTTAATGTGGAACAAGAAGTCCCAGCTGGACCTCGCCTCTCATTTTTATAGTTAAATAAATGTTGAATTATTATTTTTATGTCAGTCTTGTTTAGTTTGAGTGCAGAGCCAACCTTCTCCAAGGATAAATCTATCAACATGAGCAGCCTGGACCCACACCAGCAACTTTCTCCTGGTTGCCGTGACAACACAACAGGCACTGGTGATTCATCAGATGTGTGTGAGCATTCCAAGCGGCCTCTCCAAGGTCTGAAATTGGCATCGCATGCGGTGCTGGAGAAAGCACAGCAGAGTGGCAGGGTGAAGTGCTCCAAGTGTGGAGGATCCAGGATGTTCTTCTGCTACACCTGCTGCTCATTAATGGGTGTCAGCGATGAGGAGATTCCTCTGGTCCAGGTCAGAAAAACCAGCAACTCTTCTGACTGAGTCCTTTTCCTCAGAGCCACACTACAGTATTCTTATCATGATGGAAACCATTTTATTAGACTAATATGTGACCGGATTTTAATGGTTTCCTGTTCTCAGCTTCCTGTGAAGATCGACATCATCAAACACCCAAATGAAACAGACGGTAAGAGCACCGCTGTTCACGCTAAGATCCTCGCACCCAACGACGTGACGATCTACACCTACCCGTGCATTCCAGAGTATGACAGGCAGAAGGTTAGAGCTGCTTCTATTATCTATACACATCTGAAATAATCGACCCATAATTCAATTCAAAAATACTTTATTAATCCCAAAGGGAAATTAATTGTTGTTGTAGCTCAACTTGGTTTCATTAGAGTTGTTCTAGATGCTGATAATGAAGTTCTGATCGTAAAGAACCTCATTGTGTCAACTGGATGTTTGTTCCTCCTCCTGCTGAAACTCACTGAACGGAGCTTTGTTTTCATTTGAAATGCAGAGACATTCTAGGACTGCATTTGTTTGTAAGATGGATTTCCACCGAGTCTGTCTCTGATGTGCAGGTGGTTCTGGTGTTTCCTGGCCCGCAAGCGGTTTCGGTTCAGGACATGCTACAGTCTTTACGTGACAGGAGCACTAACGGGTCACATGACTTCAGCGAGCCCTGCCGAAAGAGGCTGAGAACCGAAGGAGTTGAAGGTTCCACCCAGTCCGAGTCAATCTCCAAGTCTCAGGTGACTCCCCTACAGAAGGTGGTCTTCATCGACAGCACCTGGAACCAGACCAACAAGATCAGCACAGACGAGAGGCTGCATGGTGAGAACCAAAAGCTGCATCGAACCTGTTGAACTTGTAGTTCTGTTTGTGTGTGAGCTCAGTTTATTGTTCCTTCTTCAGGTTTGGTTCAGGTCGAACTCAAGGCTAGAAAAACGTGTTTCTGGCGTAGTCAGAAGGGCAAACCGGACACGTACCTGGCAACCATCGAGGCCCTTTACTATTTTATGAAGGACTTCCACCAGCAGTGCCTCGGTCTGGAGTACGATGGAGAATATGACAACCTTCTGTTCTTCTATTCCTTCCTACACTCCGTCATCAACACGGCTAAAAGTGCTGCTGGTAGGAGCTGAAGGTTCGAGTTCATCAACAGAACCAGGGACTGACAGACAGCTTGATGTTTGAGCCTTTTTATTTCTGTTTATTTTGGTTTTATAAGGAAAACTGACATTAGTTTAAGTTTAATTAAACAAAAAAAGGCTTCAGTTTGTTTTTGATGCAGTAAATACAATAAATATCCCATGGATATAAAAATCCTACAGTTAATTTATCATTTCATCTGCTCCCTTCTTCAGGGTCGCCACAGTGAACTAAGCCGCACGAATACTTGACAACTGTTTTTTCACCAGATGTCCTTCCTGACACAACCACAGACCACCGAGCTACCACAGCCCTCTGTGTGGAGCAGAGAGCTGCCATCTAGAGCGCCCGGGGGAGCAGATAGTGGGGGTTAAGGACTGTGTTCAAGGGCCTTGAGTGGGGCAAATGAGAATGGAGGCAGGTGTGGGTGCTTCACCTTTCCCACCCACATTTTGATGTTGTTGGTACAGGGAGTCGAACCGGCGACCTTCTGCTCAAAGGCCAATTTCTCTAGCCTCCTAACACTACAGACAATACTGCCATTAAATTAGTGTGAATATTAACATCCATCCTCTGATTCTGGACTCAGATCTCGGGCATCAGATCAGGGAGGTCCAGATATCTCTCCCCACAGCCACCTCTTCTGGGAGGACTCTTTAAGGTGTTCCCAGACCAGCTGAGACATAGTCTCTCCAGTGTGTCTAGGGTCTCTTCACAGTTGGACATGTCCAGAACACCTCCCTAGGGAGGTGTCCAGTGTCCATCCTTACCAGAGTTCAAGGCCTTAGGTGAGGGTAGGAACATAGCCGAGTGGTAAAACAAATGCTTCTTACAGCTCAGCTCCCTCTTCACCACAACGGACCAGCACACAGGGTCCACTATACTGCAGAAGCTGCACTGATCCATTTGTTGATCTCTCGCTCCATTCTTCCCTCACTGAGAACAAAACCAGTGATATGACCTCCTCCACTTGAGACAGAACCTCAACCTGGAGAGGACAATCCACTCTGACTGAGGACCATGGTCTCAGATCTGGAGGTTCTGATTCTCATCCCAGCCGTGAACTGCTCCAGTGAGAACTGAAAATCATGGCATGATGCCACCAGGACCACATCATCTGCAAAGAGCAGAGATGGAATCATGAAGCCACCAAACTGGACTCCCTCCATCCCCTGGCTGCACCGAGAAATTCTGTCCATGAAAGTTCTGAACAGAACCTGTAACAACGGGCAGCCCCAGTGGAGTCCAACTTACGAGAACCAAACTCTCGCATCATTTATATCAGGAGTAAACCAGTAAAAATGATTTAATTTAAACATCTCAGGCGTTTCATCAAATAAATTAGAAGCTATCAAAAATGGAATACACAGTTCAGAAACGTAAATATTTTATTTACAAATCAATACACTTGTCTTATCCAAGTTGTTTTTTTTAACAATGATCAGAATCTTGAGCGACTCCAGAAACATTTTACTAGAAATAAACAAAGTATTGTCTCTGTAGACCTCACTGCCTCTCCAGTAGATCCTGTAAATCTGAGAACATCTAGAGCTGAATGCACTAAACCTGCTGTAGTTTGGTAGTTTAGTAAAAGGCCTCCCTGATCTTGCCCTGCAGGGCGTCGCAGGTCTTCTTGGCGTCTCCGAGCAACATGGACGTGTTGGGTTTGTAGAAGATGGGGTTGTCTACAGCTGCGTAGCCCACGCCCAGAGTCCGCTTCATCACGATAACCTGCAGCAGGACACGTTTACATGATCACCTTTTGTTGTTTGATGCTGAAACTTCAGGGCAAATTAATTATTTGTTACCAGGAAAACATCTGGAACATATAAATCAGTCAGGCCTTTCTGGACCTTATTCAGAGCAATAAAAACACTTTTGTGACACACTCAGGTCAGTATTTAAGGAGTGATGAAGTGTCAAAGGGCGACCAAATTGTGGCCGCCATATTGTTTCAGTAGAACGTTTTGATTGACAGGAACCGGTTGAACTGATGTGCAGCTGCTTATCATGTCTGATGAAGGCAGACAGACCGGGTCGAGCATCTGGTTCAGCCGGAGGACAGCTGCCCAACATGCAGACCCGAAGACGCTAAAACGAACCCCTCAGAACCATGAGGGGGAGAAGCGGTCTGGTTCTGAGTCCAAAGCAGAAGATCTGGTCCTCTGCTGCTTCTCCCGTCTCCACGGTCTGACCCAGAGCTCAATGTGGACGTTTCCTTCAGGACAGACCGGGAACGTGATTTTATTTAGTGTTGGTCTGAACAGCGGTCTGAAGTTTCAGTGGGTCGGTGTCGGTTCTGTTGGGTGTTTTATGCGTTTTTAAACCAGTCACCGCAGTAATGTTGAGTGAGCTGCGACCAGCACCGTTTAAAGGCAGGAATGTGTCAAAATGGTGAAACTCGTCCTTTAAGTCAAAAGACAGAACCCACCTGTTTGGACTTCCAGACCTCCAGGACCGGCATGCCAGCGATGATGGAGTTGGGATCCTCCTGAGCGGCAGAGTTCACCGTGTCGTTGGCGCCGATGACCAGCGTCAGGTCCGTCTCTGCGGGTCAACGTTCACACATTTAATCAGAAGACATGCAGATGATGAAAACCCAGAACCGCACCCATAAACAGAACCATGTGTCCAAGAACAAACGCTGGTTGCTAAGTTTTTGTCCACAAAACGTCTCTGCAGAGACGACAGCCGTGGGCGAGCTGTTAACCTCAGAACCACACATTTCACTTTTTTATCTTTATAATTAGTTTCCTCATGTTTTGGGCATCCATAAACGTCTGCACACTTTGTTTTATTTTATAAATATGTTCCAGAGCCTTCGGCTCATTCAGGAAACGACTGCTTGTCACTTCAGTTTTTATACTTTCAAAAATATTTAACTTTATGTATAAAAAATCCTTCATAGACAGGCAGATCTCTTCTGTTCCTTCACAAACTTTATTCTCTTTAAGATTAGTTTGTTTTAAATTTTAGTTTTTATCATGTTATCATTCGATGCTGCCGTTAGCGTTTAGCTCCTGTTTTTCTACTTTGAGCTAGCCTTTCGCTACTTTTAGCTGTAGTAGACACCTACAGTATTTACTTTTATCTACCATTCTACTTATAGTTACAACTCTGCTCCTTTCAGATAGCATTATGCTATTTTTAGCTATAATTCTGCTACTTTTAGCTAGTATTCTGCACATTTCAGCTGGTATTTTGTTTTTGGCTAGTATGCTATTTTTAATATTTAGGTGCAATTCTACTTTTATCTGAGATTTAGCTATTTTTCTTCTACAGTTGTACTATTGTAGCTATAATTCTGCTTCTTTACATTTTACCAGCTCTATGTGAGCTTCAGTAAATTTTGGCTGTCATTCGGCTCTTAGCGTCGTGTTTTAGCAGCAGACGTCATCTCTCGATTGTGAAAAGTTTTGCCTGGAAAGTCGTCGTTGATCTCGTCCATCTCCAGAACCACGTCGTAGGGAACGCCAGCTTCAGCCAGAAGAACGTTCAGCTGGCCAGGCATCCGACCGGCCACCGGGTGGATCCCGAACCTGTTGAAGAGGAAAACTCAGATTGGTTTATCTGATCTGGGATCCTCGGTCTGGTTCTATACGAGTTCTGGTTCGTCGGACAGACAGAACTGGACTGACCTGACAGTCTTCCCCTGTTCCCTCAGCATTTTCACCATGTCTGCAATGGGGTACTGGGCTTTGGCTGCACACAGACCCCAACCTGCACAAAGAAACTGGATCAGAGAGGACTCCCTCAGATTTGGGTTTTGGTACAAATCTGGATTACGTTGAATAAACACAACGATTCGTGTTTCTCATCATGACTCACAGAAGTTCAACAATCTAAGCAGCATTTTTCTGAGAAAATGTGGCGTGCAAAGAATCGTTTTATTCCTTTAAAGCCTGGTGGCCAGAACCCTCAGAGTCCAGTCTGACCTCTCATTGAGTTTTCTGAAACCAAACATAAACCGTACGGTAATTCTCCAGACAATCTGAGTCTTCTGTTTCCTCACTGCTGGAGCTTTGTTGTTGACAGTGCACGGAGACGTCCCAGGGCCTGGTCTCAATCGCTGGTCCTCTAATGGAACCAGCATGTTGGACCACACAGCTGTCCTCAAGTTGGGCCACAGCCACTGGGAACAACAAGGATCCAGGACTTTTAAGAGTCCCCCCCACACACACACACTCAGGCTGCTGAACAACCAAATCAGCTGCCAGAACCACATTGTTGTTTCCAGGTGAATAAATCAAGACCGGCTCATTATCTCACCACTCATCATTCATGGTTGGACAGACGGTTCAGAGAATCAACGGAGAGGACTAACGCCCCCACGTGGTCCTGATCCAGGACTGAGATTCTTCAGAACACCTGTTTTCAGCCACAGTCTGGCAGAGCAGTCGGGGTAAACCTTTTTCTTTTTGACAGTTGGAGTCGATAAAATGAGAAACAGATGTTTCTGAGCCGAACCGTCTGC